AGAAAATTAATGTTGAAAATGATAGTGACTGAATTTGAAGTGGTAGCTGAATGTAGCTGAGGTTGAATGAGTGAGTCATTCGATGACTAGCTTTCCGATCGGAACAGCAAAGTTCCGGAAAGGAACTCTAGATTGATGAATTCAGTTGGTTGGTTGAATGTTTACGAACAACGGATATCCCGGAAGAGATTCAACTCGAGCAGAATCTTTCGAATGGCGTTCTACTGGCTCGACTCGCGAACTTTTTCGCACCCGATATGGTGCCACTGAATAAAATCTTCGATTTTGATCAGGTGATAATGCTCTTGATTGATCTTGAACATATTCTTAAACATGATATTAAATGGATGATCGATGAATTATCCAATTTGATACCATCATTCTCATAGGCAAACGAGTCAATAAACTGTCAAAAATTTTGTCCAGAAAATACATTTTTCACTGAGAGCATCAATTAGCAAAGAGATATTCTTTTAAAACTGCATCCGCTTATGAGGTGCCAATGAAATGAATATAGTCGAAGATGTGTTTTTTGCTGGATATTCATTCTTGAAGCATGGTTTTTAGTGTAAGATCTCTTTCATGTATTCATGAAACAACATATTAAAAGTTTTAGTCTCGTTACAAGAAGGACGGTAAGCCATGCTATCGTCATACGGATAACATCGTCATGTGGGCAGGAGCTGCACGCGCTATGCGCCTTCCAGAGGTATCGATCAGCTCCGATTATGATCTATCTCTAAATTTTGATTGACTTTTCAAGATTCAGAATTTTTCTCNGAAAAGTTTTATGTGTACTATCCAGGTGCTAATCCCAGAAACAGTTGATATCTATGAAGGACGTAATATCAACACAATATTTTGCTTGTACGCTCTAGCTCTTCACCTGTTCCGTCTAAGACGTGGTCCACCAATCAGACTTCAAGCCGGCAATGCGCAATTCCCTGGTGAGTGCCATGCAGACGAATGAAGAGAAGAATTCTTTATGAGAAATTTCATACGATTAGCAAATTTCGCATCTTTCATGGAGTTCTTCACTATCGTTTGTAGATTGTTCCGTCGAAACTTTTAATGATTTTCGAGGATTATTTGTAAAAAAAGTTCGATGACGCACACAATGATCACATTTTGATATTGTTTTAGAGTCTGTAATGGAGGAAATGCATGAACGTCTGAAAGATAGCGATATTCCGGCATTCGGCGAACTTAGTGGTATGTTGGACACGACGATGCCTAGCGATAAGGATGCGCATTCGATGGCTATATATAAGATCAACAAAGCCCTAAACTCAAAGGTAACGAGCCAGTGCCCTCAGAAAGGCATAAAATTCTCGAGAATGCACACATTCCAGTATTTGCAACAGTATTTGGACTAAGCAGTGTAAAATCTCAAAAAGAGATGGCATAGAAATGGTACGATACAATCGCTCTGCTATGCGATATCCCTTCAGGAATTGAACGATCTCTTTAGAACTAAGCATTTTCCGCCGACAACATATATATTTTTCTGATTTATGAGAATTTGCTGAATCCAATGGTGTGTAAAAATCATTAGGTCGCTAAGCATATCCGAGGATAAAGATGTCCTGAATGTGGTATACATATGTTCCCATATTAGTGCAATAGTGATCAGCCT